GTTACTCTCTAGAGCAGGCAGAGATTCTCAAAGTGAACAGAGGCTCAGGTTCCGCTAACCAAAACTGGTCGACACTCCGGCGCCGAAGACAGGTCTGACTGCTGCTTATGTAGGAGGTCTCCTGATGGGCTGATGATCCTCAGGTGTGCTGGAGGCTCCCAGCCCGGGAGACCCACAGCGCTCTCTGCTGGAGACAGGTGGCAGATCTCCAGATCCCAACAGTTAGCTGGTATTGCTAACTCAAAGAAACCATGATTTAAGAAGAAAATATTATCTAACCAAAATCAAACAGAATAAATTCAACTCTTTGTTGGTGCAAAGGGAAGTTGTAGATCAAAATAAGGAAAATAAAAGGAGTTGAAAATGCCGTGTTAACAGACCATGGTTAACCCTAACCCTTCTCCTCTTCAGTCTTATGCGACGTTCAGACTGCATGTGATAGAGGCAGAAAAAAAGCTCAGCTGCTTCATTTTTGATTCTTGTCCACATTAAGTTCAGACGTCCAGTAAAGTGAGTCCAAATGCATCTGATGCTTCTGCTGCTCCTGTGTTCAATGCCAGAGAGCAGCTTTGCTATATTAGCTGTGATCAGCGGGTAAAAAGTAGTTTGAATCTATTCTTAAGTGAGAAAGTCCTCCTGAAAACATGGTCTGTGCAGTCAGTTCATCCAGATTACCATCCTGCCTTCAAAGATTATTTCTCTGTGGGACCAGCACCAAACCCCTGTTCACAGGCGGTGCTCTGTCACTGGAATTCCCCTTCACCAGCAGCCTCTGGCCCGGTGTACCAGACCTGCTGTGGTCCTGCTTCATGTCAGTGACGCTACGCTGCACGATTGGCTGAACGTTGCCACATGATGTAAAACACTGTGGTTGCCCAGACAACCATAATAACATCACGCAGCATCCGTTTGCTGAGTCGGAAGCATCTGTAGCGCTAGCATGACTTAGGATCAATGAAGTGCTTTCTTCCAGCAAGGAAATCCAAAAGACAGCTGAAGATAGCGGCGAGAAAATTAAACGCAAAAACATCACAATCCCTTATGTTGTTGGAGTCTCTGAAAAACTCAAGAGGATTTTCCCCAAACACAAAATCCCAGAACATTTCAAACCAAACAAAACCCTTAAACAGAGACTAGTGCATCCTAAAGATAAAACCCCCGATCTAATCTGAGCGGAGTGGTGTCCGCAGAAACCAAACAACCTCTGCACAGATGCATGGCCCAACACAGAAGAGCGCCCTCCTCTGGACAAGACTCTGCGGTACATCTACACCTTATGGACAAAGGACATTCTTTGAAGGACCAGAATGTTCACATTCTGGATAAAGAAAAGTTTGAGACGGGCATGAAGGAAGCCATCTATGTTAAGAGAGAAAAAACAACCTTAAAAAGAGGGGGTGGACTCAGATTCCAGCTTCCAAAAACTTACAATTCAGTTATTGAGTTGATTCCTACCAGGTATGACCACAACACCCCCACCCCATCACAGAGGA